TGTGAAACAATGGCTTTTCCTCTTATAGTTAATAAAGTAATCTGTGGAGCAGATCAAAACTTGGCTATCTTATGAATAAACTGTTTTCCAACAATGTTTCACTCAATGTGTTCAGCAACTGCTGATATCCTTGCCTGCACTGATTAAAGTGGTAGGTTTAAAATAATTCCTTCTAGTATTTATACGGGATATTTTTTCTATAAAGAAGAGTTTTCCACTTTAATCCCTTTCTCTGTATGTTTTATTAACTTATTTATTTTGGCGTAACATCATGGACTGATGAATTTTTATTAATGTTTTATTAATTAATATCAATGATTTTGAGACAGTCTCACTATTTAGCCTAACCTGGCTATTGTATAGACCAGGTTGGACTCAAACTCCCAATCCTCTAGCCTCATCCTCCTGAGTGCCAGCATTACAGGTGTATTCCATCATGCCTAGATTAATTTTGTTTTTTGTCTGTCATGGAGCTTGAACTAAGGGCCTGATCTCAGCCTTCTGAGTAGCTATGATTACAGGTATGAGCCACCAGTGCCCTGCAATTATTCTTTTTGGTGCTCAAAATGTTCCAACATTATTGGGAGACATTCCTTATGGCAAAAATGTAACTTCTGATTGGCATATAATACTTGGACTTGTAGACACTATAAATACATTATAAGCTATTGAGGCAGTCATAACTTTGGACTTCCTTTAGCATAGTCACTGTTCATGTGATCCCATAAGCCGAAACCTGGAAACTATAACTGTGGAATTATTCCAAGTTATTGGCTCCTATGGGGCATCAGGCTGCAAACCTAGCCTAGTTTCCACACATTTCATGGGAATCTTTTCTTCTTTGCACAGATTCTAATGTCTTCCTTGGGGGAATTACAGAGAACAGCTGTTGTCCAGCTGTTTGGTCTGTTTTGTGATCTGCTGCTGGTGAAGGCTCAAGTGATAGAATGCCAGCTGTGAGCAAGCTAGCCAAACAAGCTCATGGCCCTGAGTTCAAACCTCAATATCTGAAAAAAAGAACTCCTAGAAAAATCTAACTGCCATCCCTACTCCTTGCATACCATTCTCACTCATTTATTTTCCTATATTTATCCTAGGCCTATCTTTCCTATATTTTGAAAATTAAAGAATTTTCTTACAGGAAGAAACACTCACATATATAAAAGTATAACACTTATGTCCTTTCGTACCTTAATTTTTATCATTTGAGACTATCTTGAAGTTCACTGATATTACTTCATAGAAGTCTTTATTTAAAAAATTGTATTAGCATACATTAGTTGTACGAGAGGGGGCTTGCACCACATCAACCTTACATTGTCACTCTCCCTTACTTTCTCCTCCCTTCTTAAAGCAATTTCAACAGATTTCATTGTTGAGTTTTCACACATGCAAACAAATAACCTCCTTACCATAGAGCTTGTTTTACTCTCCTATCATTCTTTTTTATGTATATTAATTGGGCCATAAAGTTTCAACATTGTATTTCACATGTGCATATTATATTTTAATACAAATGGCCCTTTCTATTGCTCTTTACCTATTCTCACCCACTATTATTTAACAGCTTTCAGTAAGATTCCTTCTGCCATCTTCATATATAGATACATTCTCTTTTGCCCTGCCCCTTTGCCCATCTGAAACCTTCATTTTTTACATGTGGTGTGTGTGTGTAGTAGTAGTAGTAGTAGTAGTAGTAGTAGTAGTAGTAGTAGTGGGTGGAGCTTGAACTCAGGGCCTCCTGCTCTTACTTGGCATTTTTGCTCAAGGCTGGTGGTCTACCACTTGAGTCATACATTTATTCTTCATTTTTAAATGGCAATCTCATTTCCTTGTGTAGACATAACACAGTTTATGCAACCTGTCTCCAAGGAATAGGCATGGAAATCATTCCAGAAGCAGGTATGCTGGAGTATACCTATAGTCCCAGCTACTAGTGAGGCTGAAGCTCAATGGAGATAAAGAATGCAAGGTCACCCTAGGCAATACAGCAAGCCTCAATCTTTTAAAAATATTTATTTTTATTAAGTATTTGTAAAAATGGGGTTTCAATTCCAGAACTCGGGTTATGAATACAAATCATCTTTCAAAGAAAAAAACACACATTAAAAAACCCATGGGGGGGCTGGGAAGGTGGCTCAGTGGTAGAGTGCTTGCCTCACATGCAGGAGACCCTGGGTTCAATTCCTCAGTATCACATAAGCAGAAAAAGCCAGAAGTGGTGCTGTGGCTCAAGTGGTACAGCACTAGCCTTGAGCTGAAGAGTTGAGGGACAGTGCCCAGGCCCAGAGTTCAGGCCCCATGACTGACCAAAAAAAAAAAAAAACCCATCTAGGCACCAGTGGCTCACACCTATAATCCTAGCTGCTCAGGAGGCTGAGTTTATGAGGATCATGGTTCAAAGGCAGCCTGGGTAGGAAAGTCTGTGAGACTTATTTCCAACTAATCACCAAAAAGCTAAAAGTGAAGCTGTAGCTCAAATGGTAGAGCACTAACCTTGAGCAAAAAATCTCAGGGATAGTTCCCAGGCCCTGAGTTCAAGACCCAGAACTGGCGCGTTTTAAAAAATACAAACTTGGCAGAGGCTTGAAATGTGGCTTAGTGGTACAGTGCTTGCCTTGCATGCATGAAGCCCTAGGTTCCCTTCCTCAGTACGGATAAAGAGAAAAAACCAGAAGTGGAGCAGTGGCTCAAGTGGTAGAGCGCTAGCCTTGAGCAAAAGAAACTTACGGACAGTGCCCAGGCCCTGAGGTCAAGCCCCAGGACTGGCAAAAAGAAAAAAGAAAAGAAAAAAAAAGAAAAAAGAGAAAACTTGGCAGAACTTGAGTGAGTAAGCAAAGAGGCAAGCAGATAGCCAAGCAGAAAGGCAGGGGCACACTCTTTTAGAGTGTCGGAGCTCTCAAAGGGAGACACACAGCTGTTTGGCATCAAGGGTATTTACATGATAAATGGGGTTGACTTCAAAGTTGTGCAAAGATTGGCATTTTATCTTTGCTTTAATCACTCCTGCTGTTACACTTTCAGAGTTTCTGGATGTTTTGGACATTACTTCCAGATAAGAATGCCGGCTGCTATGGAACAGATGCTTATCCTTGAGATAAGGGAGTAGTCTGGCTGTCTCAGAAGCCGATAATGCTTTTATGTTTCTAAATACTTTGGTTTCTGAGTTGCCTTCACCACGTCTCACTTCCCCTAATTTATCCTACCTTGTTTTCCCTTAAAATAGTTTTGGTGCCTTACTTTTAAGGGAAGTAGAATGATTGAATATCTCCTACATTTGCTTTAAGCTTAAGTTTTTTGAATTCCTGGCAGCCATTTACCATGATTAATTTTCCCTAGTCTGTCCTGTTTCAGGACTTGCACACACAAACAGGGATAAAGCCAGAAGGTTAGGAGCATAAATACTGCTTCCAATAAAATAAGGGAAAGTTTTCTTTTTCAGTTTGGGCACTTTGGCTATCCTTTGCTTTTACTTTTAAAATGCAATTCCACTTAATATGTACAGGCGAAGTTAATTTTTTTGCATACTTGGCTCGATATTGGTTGAAGCACCTCAGCTTGAAAAACCCGGGAACCAAAAACTGCCGAGCCCCTCCCCTTCCCACGTGACAGTGACTTTTCCGCCCTGCCTCCGCTTCTGGAGGACGCGCTGCTGCGCACTCAGGTGACGTTACCAACAGACCAGACCAAGTGGAGGTAGAGTGATCCCGCGGCCAAGACCTATGAGGTCTCTTTCTTCAAATTCTTGCTTTTCTCCTGATCACGATGAAGCCCTTTCTCTTCAAATTAAATCGTTATAGTGAAAATACCTGGTGAATAATCCACCGATCACATCCGCACCTCCTCTTTCACCAACACCTGGGCAACGCTCCCCCGCAAGCAGTGGTATCGCCCGGCAGCTACCAGATAGACGCCTCTTCGCGAGCACGCGCGCGCGCGCCAGCAGCAGGCGGGAAGGCGGAGCCAGATCCTACCAACACCTCATCTCCCCGCCTCTGTGTGGGCCGGGCGTTTGGGCCGGGCCTCAGAGTGCGGGACGGTAACTGCTGGGGCCCTAAGGCAAGCGTCGGTAGGGGAGGGTCAAAGGTAGCGGCGCGAGTTTAAGAACCATGAGTGCCAAGCTCCCGGTCGCTTCAAGCGAAGGCAGCGGCAGCGTAAGCGGTAGCGAAGGCGGCGGTCGTGGCGGCGGTCGTGGCGGCGGCGGTCGCGGCGGCGGCGGTGGTGGTGGAGGCAGTGGTGGCGGCGGCAGCGTCGGCAGCGTCGGCAGCGGCGGCGGCGGTAGTGGTAGCAGCAGCGGCGTCGGTATCGGCGGCAGCAGCGGCGGCGGCGGCCGTCGCGGAAAGCGACGTGAGGGGGAACTCATTACCAAAATCCAGGGTTCGGCTCCTAAAGTCTCGAGCCCGGCGCCGGCCTCAGGTCTGGCGCCATCACCGGCTTCATCGCCTCTGGCGTCGCCACCACCAGCTGTGGCGTCGCCACCAGCTCTGGCCTCCTCTGCGGCCTCAGTTCCAGCGCCGTCACCGGCTCTAACGCCGCCGCAGCCGCTACAGCCACCGCGGCAGCCGCTGGTGCCATCCGTGGCTCCAGCCATGGCCCTCTCTACGGCCCCGCCTCCTGTCTCCAACGCAGGTGCTACCTCGACTAGCCCTTCCGAGTGGAGCACCCAGTCTCAGTGGCACGCCCCCGCGCACCCACTTTCCAACACCCAGTCAAACGTGTCCAGCCGGGGATTGACTGGGTCCTGGGTCTCTAGTGTGCCCTCTCATTTAAGTAGCGGTTCTGAGCAGGTGGTTGGCCCAGATGCCAAGACTGGCTCCTGGGGCTTCAGCGCCCCAGGCCTTAGCCACCCACCTGCCACTTATGCCTCTACCCCTGACCTTAGCGTATTCCAGTCATTGGCAGGGGAATCCTTCCAGCCCTTGGAGTCCTCCCGAATTTCAGTACACGGGTCCTCCTTGTCTTCTATACTTAGCACTCCCCAAGGGACGTTACAAGGCTCTATCCCCTCCTCAGTGGCCAGCACCCCACAAGGGTCAGGCCAAGATCCTACTATCTCTTCAAGGTCCAGCTATCCCTGGGTATTGGTTTCATCAGGATTTCAGGGATCTCCAGATTCTTCCCAACTGTCGGTACCAACACCTCCTACACCCAGTAATACTCCCCGAGTGTCATCACAAGACACCACTCCCTATCTGTCCAGCTACCCTTGGATGAGCATACCAGTTTCTTCTGCACCCTATTTTCTTTCTCAACTGTCAGTTCCAGGACCTCCTGCACCCAGTAATTCTCTAACAACAGGAGTAGGGTACTTCATACCCTCACCAGCCAGCTCCCCATCGGGTTCAATACAATTTCCCTTTGTACCCACTAACACCCCTCGAGTGTCTGTAGACGAGCCCACATCATTCTTAGGGACAAGCTTTCCCCGGGTATCTCTAGAAAGATCAGCTCCGCCCCCAGGCGCTCCCCTAGTGTCAGCACAAGGGGCTGCCCCGCCCTCTGGGCCAGGCTCTCCCCGGGTAAGGGTGGAAAGATCGGCTCCGCCCCCAGACTCCCAGCAAGAGTCAGTAGAAAGGTCCGTTCCAACCTTCACATTCGGCACTTGCACTTGGATACCCACGTCTCTGGAGCATCCCAACCAAAGCATGGCGAACCGGGAGAAGGCGAATCTTACAGGCCACATGTTCGACGTAGTCGTGATTGGAGGCGGTATCTCAGGTTAGTGTGGACCCTAAACCGGTGGTTTGGCTTGAGGGACTCTGGTTAACCCGGAGTGGGGAACTTGCAGTGTCTTTGTAGTGTTTGGGGGATCTCATTGGTGCATGCAAGCAAGATTGTAACAGTGGCTGGGGTCCCAGATTCTGCTAAATGGGAAGAAGGGTTAGGTCGGTTTTACTGGTGGTGTGAACTAGGGAAGGGAGGCAAAATAATTTTTACTGCTACTGCTGCTGCTGTTAAAGGCGCATACTTAACTAGTTCTTGTTGTGCAGTTATATTTGGCACTTTATGTGGATTTCCTCAGTGCTCAACAGTCCCAGGATGTAGGTACGAAATTATAAAACCAAGCAACTAAGGAGTTTGAGTAACTCTCCTGAGATAAATCACTCAGCTGGGAAGAAGCTGAACGATTTTTCTGCCACTTAAGACCCTCCTAGTTCCTGAGGTGGCTGGTTTGCCTCCCGGATTGTACATGCTTTCCCTTGCAGAATATTAGCCTGTGCATTTCTGTTGTATTGAGGTAGTAGGATTAATCTAATTCTGTGCTTCTTTAAATCACTTTTCCTTAGAAAATTGGGTTGATAAAAGAACCAAAAGGCTTAATTCTATAGGGAAAATGTAGCTAAAAAAATGGAAAGAGGGAGTGAGCATGTATTTCTAACCTTTGTCATTTTTTTTCAGAACTTGCAGCAAAGTGCAGGGCATTTATTGCCCAAAGGGAATCCTTTTATGAAGCCAAAGCTAAGGGCAAGTCAGGGAGTGTCCTGTTATGTTCTCCTTTTACTAAGAGCTCCAACTGTATACCCTGGTCCTGGCTTGGGTTTGTAACTGACCAAATAAGGGCTATATGAGCCTTTTTAGTATCTTCTAGAAAGTCTCATCAAGATTGATGTATTTAATTACCACTTACGTTATCATAATTGGTGAAATGTTTAAAAATTTTAAAATGTATGTGTGTTTCAGTTATAGCTAGAACTCTACACTAACCTGTCCCTTTCCCCAAGAAGTGTTAATAATTTCAAAGATATACTTGCAGGATCTGATTTAGGAAGGTGGAAGATAATAGGCTACCCCCACAGTAATAATTTTTCTAAATATTCCCTTTGAGGAGACTCTGAACATGTTTATAGATTAATTTTTGGAAACAGATAGCTTTGTCTTGCTTGTAAGGGCAAACAGTCCTAAAAACCAGATAATAGATTGGTGTAAATTATTGCTTTGACAATTCTAGCCAGTGCTAGCAAAAACAAGCCTGTAGTCTGGAGCTTCAGAGAAAAACAGATCCTAGTGGAGAATAAGAAAAAGAATATTCCTCTTGTTTCTCAACAAATATTTGTGACTGCCTGCAATGAAATGGCCTGATGTATTAAAAAAAAAAAACAACTATTCCTTCCAGGCAGCTCTTCTAGAAGTGACATGATAGTTTATCACTAGAAAATAAATATAATGGTAATGTATAGTGTGAATAAGGATTTCTGTCTTTTCCATACAATTCAGAGGTTTAGCTGGGATTTTATTTTTGTCCTTTTCTTTGATACAGAGTTTTGTCTTTTGTTTTACATCTGCATTATCTGCTGTTTCTCCTTTTCCATACCTGATTTCTAATACTTGGTCAATAACAGAAGCTGATTTAGAAGGCAGCTGTTGAACCTCTCGTGCTTTATTCACAATTTTGCTGTCTTGTGTCTTCGTGTGTGTGTGTGTGTGTGTGTGTATGTGTGTGCGTGCGTGCACGTGCGAATGTGCGCATGTGTGCGTGTGTGTGTGTGTGTGTGTGTGTGTGTGTGTGTGTGTAGTTAGTTGCTGACAAGAATCTCAAACTTTCCTGCCCCAGCTGACTTCAAACTGCAGATCCTCAGATTTTAACCTCCTGAGAAGCTAGGATTACAGGTATAAGCCACCAGCTCTTGGGCTTTCTGTCATATTTCTTAAGGACAGCACCCAGATTTTGTAAAGCCCCACAAAACTAGTATGTGCCCATAGTCATTATTAATTGTTAATTTTTATTTGAAGGGGATAGAGGAAATTCTTGCATAGTAGTTCACACCCCTATTCCAGAGGCCAGCTTCCAGACCATCAGTGACACTGAGAAAAGCACTTGGCTTCCTCTAAATGCCATCTCTATCATTCAGATCTGAGTGATTTTAATATCCAAACTACTAGAAACATTGTTTTCTGTGATGTTTTCTCAGAGTTTGTAACTAAAATAAAAGTAGACTTAGGTCTGCCTCATGTTAGGTCCTATGTGTAGGCTGGGTGTTTCATAAATAATTGAGAGGCATACTTGGAAACTTTATAGAATATTGTCTTTGTGTTCATACTCCATGGGGAACTTAATTGTCTCAGTGACAGTTTTAAATGTTTTTGGATATTTTCTACAGCTTTTACCAGGCTTGCACATTTCAATGGCACTATTTCGCACCTTCAGTATTATTCTTACAATATAACTCCTGAAAGAGTAAATGACACTCAAAATTGATCCAATGGTAGGCATTGTGGGACATACCTATTATCCTAGTGCCTGTGAAACTGAGGCAGGAAAATCATGTTTGAGATCAACCTTGACTACTTAGTGAGATCATGTCTCAAAAGTTGATTTACATTTAGAGAATTGGGACTATTTTTGCACAAAGAATAACAGTATCTTGCTAGATCCCCCTTTTGTTATTTTGTTTAAAAGAATATTTTACAACCATTAACCTTTTTTTTCTATCTCCAGCCAATTAAATGATTTTATATACTGTTAGCAGTCAAGAGGGTGTTTCCACAACCCTGCTAATTTTAGGTATTTTTGTTATAGCCAATGCCTGGGGTTTTTTTTTGCTTGTCTTGTGTGTGTGTGTATATGTGTGTGTACATGTGTGCACACATGTGTGTGCACATGTGTACTAGTAGTAGGGCTTGAACTCAGGGCTTTGTGCACTTGCTAGGATTTTTCTGTTCAAGGCTGATGCTCTACCACTTGAGCCACACATCCACTGCTGTTGGTGGCTTCTTTTTTTAAATTTTCAAATTTATTTATTTTTATTTTTAATTATTATTGTAAAGATGATATGCAAAGGGGTTACAGTTACATGAGACTGGTAGTGAGTACAATTGTTTTTGAACCATGTCTCCCCTTTCCTTACTCTGTATTGTTAGTGACTTCTTTAACATATTGTGGCCCTTAGCCATCATCATCTATCTACTATCATATATATATATATATATATATAAATATAATAAAACTCTTAAAATATGTTTTCTTTGACACTATAAGATACTGAATTTTTATTCTTACATTGATAGTTCCTTTTTTATTCCTTCCATTTAGCTTATGGTTTCTTCTCCCCTCCCCCTTACCCTACTATACCGGGGTTTGAACTCTGGGCCTCACGTTCTTGCTTGGCTTTTTTTCTCATGGTGGTACTCTAACTCTCTATCACTCTTAACTTCCATTTTTTCCTGATAGTTGCTGGCTCCAAACCTTAATCCTCAGATCACAGCTTTTTGAACCATAGCATTGGTTTTTATAACACCTGGCTGGAGCTTATATTGTTGTGGACATCTAGTTTTGAAATAACCTCATGTTTCTGTTGTTCATCACTTTAGGGTTGTTGTCATTCTTTCCCTCTCTCATACTATGCCTTTAATGTTTCCTTATCTGTAGAAATCTGTAATTTGAGTTAGACATCTCTAATTTGAATCCTTCCTCCAAACTCCTGTCTAATACTTTATCTGCTTGTGCATAGTTTACACTTAAATACTACAGATTCAGCATGCTTTTCACTCCAGCTTCTCTTCCTCAGTGCTTTGACTTTTATTGCCACCACTATCCTTTCCATCATTTTTGAAACATTTTCTTTCATCTTCCACATATCGCCCCTTATTTATTTTTAATGTGCTGGAGATCTAACACAGGCCTCATCACTTTATACATCACTAGTCCTCCTGTACCTTTTAGCGGAGCCTATAGCTCCTGTCTTGAACTAATTCTTTTTCTGCCTCCCTAGTACCACTCTTCTGCCCCCATCCTCAGGACAGACTTATGAAACCTGAAGCCTCCCTGGTTATAGCATCTTCCTAGTGACCTCTTCCTAGTGACCAAACTCTGCAGAAGTGGTTCTCCTTTCACATCCATCCTGTGTACATTATTCTCCTGGATTTGGTTTACCTTAAATACTTATTTCATCATGTTTCTTCTATGCTCAAGGCATTCTGGTCTCCTCTAATCAGACTGTCAAGCCCATCCCCCACTCTTTACCCTAATTATCTGTTCCTACTTCATTGAAAAACTAGATTACCCACTTTTCCCCAATATGGACTTGAGCTTTAGTCACACTGGGTCTTATTCTAGTGCTACACTATGTTTACTTTGTACCTTCATGCTCTCTCTGGTTTCATCTTTACATGGAAGTGTTTCTTTCCTCATCTTATAACGCCTGAGTGAAGATCCTGTCCTTCATCATTGTGACTTCCATTGTTTTCTCTGCTTTGTAGAGCTTGTAATCTTTACTTAGCAATTTATGCTTATTTTTTCCTCTTATTTTTAAATTTGATTTTAAAGGACAGAGGTCCAGTCATTGCATTTAGATGCTAGGTTTTATGCACAAGTTACCACTAATAGAGCAAATGACAGAAAACCAGTGATGGGAGATTTAGTATTCACCCTTATCTGAGCGTTTGTAAAATGGCTCTCTTTAGAGATAGAAATAAGGAAAAGAGAAAAAAATCCCACCCTTTTGGGACATTGTATTTCATGAATGTGTTTGGGATTTCAGAGTGTTTGGATCAAAGGGGTTTTAAAAAGCATTATAGTCAATCACCTAAGATTTTAATCCTCCTGACAGTATCTCCTTAGTCTGAGTGCAGCTCTAAACACATCTAGAGAAGATGATTGCTTTATCCCTCTAAGCAACTCATTATTAATAGAGGTAACCCTGGTTCCTGGACTTGTGCAGACTTTTTAGAACCCCTACTATATACTAGGCAGTGGCTAGTTCACAAGAAAGAGAGATATA